GTGATTCTTGGGTCTGTCCTGTGCAGGGCCAAAGATGGACTTGGTGATCCTTGTGGGTCCATTCCAACTCTGAATGCGATTTCGTGATTTTCTGTCATTTATTTTAATTCTGGGATTTATACATGCCATCTCTAAGTTCTTGTACCATTATACTTAAGGTTTTTGGCCTGTAATCTTAACTGCTTCAGTGTGGTATATATTTTGGAAAAAGAAATTTAAGCTAAGATTCAATTTGAGAGCAAAAGTTTTGTCTTGCAATCTGACTAGTATTACTTATTTTCGCCCTTTGTCAAGTTTGTCTATAATTCCAATGTGTTCATCTGGGAACTTTATGGAAAACACATCAGTAAAGTCTGAGATAAGCTGTCAGTGAGAGATTACCCATCTTGAACATTAAAATGCTGTCTGATTGACTCCAGTGGAATTCATATCAGGCCTTAAACGCTTATGTGTTCTTGGAAGTACTTTTTCTTTCAATTCTAGAAGATTAGGTACAGAGAGAGCAGAAAATGTAAAATATTTTTTTCTGAAAACTGATGAAATGATCATCTGAGGTAAAATGTCTGCTATGAGAAATGGAGTCACATCCTGATAATAAAAGAACTTTATTTTCTTCTGAGATATAACACAGAAGAAAAACAAATGGATTATTTGATTCTGTTTATCTAGCTTTCATCTAGTAAACTATGAGTTTATATGAAAGTTTAGTTCAAAGATTCCTATTGTATTGGTGAAAGAAGGTGAAAACAAAGTAAAAAATGTCTAATTTCTATTTCTGGATTTGTAAAATACTGTTTTTTAGCCTTCAGTTTTTTCTTTACGTCAGTCATGCTGTTTTTTGAAATTGGAGCCAGGAGAGCTTTATTTATTTGAGGAGGAAAGGATGAATATTTGTGAGACACGAAGAGCATATTTGGGATGCCCTTTACAGAAAAAGATAAAAACACAGAGAGGACTTGATTTTTATTCTAGTCAGAGCAGTTTTGCAACACCAGTCTCCTGATTTTAATGGAGTTCTGTATGTCAAGAAGTCTATTTAGATCAACTTTTGCAGACATACCTTGAATGATACATCTTTGTAAGGCAACAAGAAATGGCAGCATGAGGATTTATAATGCAGAGTACACATTTCACTTGCTCAGTCCTTATCATCTTGCTGACGTTGTTTCTGCAGTGAGAAATCCTTTGCACTAGAAAACCCAGAAATATAACTTGCAAAGCTAGCATATAATAATCTGATGACCAAGCAGCAACAGGAATAACTTAATGATGTGGGATGAAACTGCTCCTGTAAGGAGGAACCAAGACATATTGCATAACTTAGCAGTCACTGGCAGACAGTAGGAAGAGAGAGAATTAAATTATTCCTTAATTCCTTCCATATAGACCATTAACAGGCTAATGGGAAAAGCGTGTTAGTCAATCCTTTACATGATTCCCCTGGCTCCTGGAGTAAGAGTCCCCCAGTCCCAGTCACTGCTTATCTCAAAGCATCCAGCAGCTCTGTACTCTCTTCTGTGCATCTCTTCTGGATGGATCTCCATTCTGCAAAACAGCATGAAATTTCCAGCTTAGCCTTACTTTTCCCAGTGATGTCACTTCTGGAGACACAGCAATTTGTGACAAAAAGACTGTGCAGTGAAATAACAGACTGCTTTCCCCTCCCTGGGTTCTCACAGCTGTGCCACCTGGTAGGCATGCAGGTGATACCCATGTGTGGTGACGTGTGGTTTTTCAAGAGTCTCTCTTTCTGTCATCTATGACCTAAGGGAGATTTTCAAAGGACTAGGTGTGAGTGATGCATTCATTAACCATGCTGATCTGTTTGGAATTGCTGGGAAGGTGATTCTCTGAAAATGATTGTTTGTGGCTCTGCTGTAACTGCTGGTCTTAACCTTGACTGGGAAGAGACTTAGGCCAGGGTCAGAGAGCTGGTGTCTGGGAGTGGTGAGCAAAGACAGAAGCAACTTTACATTCTCTCCCTGACATGCTGAGTGCTGTTGCATGTCTGGGGAGAAATTAGAGAAATCTCTGCAGCAGCTTTGCTGTTCTCAGAAATTCCTCTCTGGAAACAGTAGCATCCTTCAGTTAGTTAGGCAAGCATTAGGACTGAGGTGAAAGATTAATGTTATCTATGTAGGCAGGCCTAGACTTGAGAAAAATAGCTTGTCTTTGCTAGAGTTAGGCAACAGCACACTTGCTTCTCCTAAGACTTGGTCATTTTATATAATGCTGCAATAAACTTTCTGGGTATTTGCATATATCATGACAAAATTGCCCTCTCTGTAGAAATACATTGTGACCAACCCCCCCTCGATCTTGTAAGAGAGAGTAGAAACACAGCAGTAACTATGGTGGGTTGGTTTCTGTGTGTAGATAAATCATAGGTTTACCTGGGGCAAAATCATGTACATTCAATGGAAATAATTAGTCATTACTAATTAGGATGAGTGCCATGCATCTCATCCCTAAATAACCTTCCAAGTAGCTAAATTGTGCCTGTTCCAGCTTCCTTTTAGGGGGATTCCAGTGTAAGCCACATACAGAATGTATATAACTCATGCCAATCCTATGTATATGTAGTGAGGGGTCAAGAAAACCTCCTCTCTTCTTTCCTGCTAACATTTTGCCATGGTAAAGTTTGCCCGTTTTATTCTTCCTTTTTTTTTTTTTTTTTTACTTAGATTGCCTATTTGTTAAACCATGTTAATACTTTGCTTTTCACTTTTGTAGTTTCTAAAATGCTCATCAAAGGTCTCTCAAAAAGCTAATCAGTGCTCCCAACTATTCTTTATCTAATAAATTAATGAGCCCATTAAATAATGCCAGTTAGGGTATACCTGCAGTGTGTGCTGCAGGGCAGGATGGAGATACTGAACTGTTCCTGAACAAACTTGCTGCTGCCTTGGTTGCACAATTAGATGGCATTGTTGCATCAGGACAGTGTGTGCACAAAGTTCAGTGGGGCATAGTGTCCATTGCTTTAGCCCTACCTCAGCTTTCCAGGTCTATTCATGTTCTGTTTTCTAAGACTTATTTAACACAGTTATGCCAGACTAACTTGCAAAGTTCTTTCTCTCACAGTTTAGTTTGAGCCCAAGAGCAGCCAAGTCCATGGTCTTTCTCTCCCATTAGAGTCCTAGGTGCTGGCATCATTCTGCCTGTGCAATGAGAAAAAAGACTTTTTGATATCCAGAAAAAAAAAAGAACTTACTCAATCTTTTCTTTGCAAATAAATTTATTTGCTCTGTTTAATATTTACCAGTGAACATTAACCTAATACTAAGCAGCAAACAAAGAATAGGGAAGCAGCACTGTGAGAGGTCCAGCACGGTAAGTACCAGACTATATCTTTTTGGAAGTCTTTGAATTTATTTTATATGTGATCCCTGAAATTTATTGCACAGTATTTGATTCTGACATGAATTCATTTTGTAAAATAATTGGAAATTATTTTTGCTTCTGGAAGCATGATCTGAATGTTTGAAGCAGGATTCATTCAGTGATCCAGCTCCTAGCTATAGCAGCAGGATGACTGGCAAATTAGATCCAAAATGAATACTCAACAGTCAATACCAAGGTGAACAACAAAACCTTGCCTCTGCTCCTGGAGGAGTAAATTTATTTGCAATCTCAATGTCCTGACTATTTCAGGCTGATGCAGGGCATCACTGCCTTACCAGTGGGCTTAAAGACCAGGATACTTGCAGCCAAGTGGAGTGGAAGAGAAAGCTGTTTCTCTGAAAAGCAGATTTGAGGAATTATGAAAAGAGTGCTTACCTGACCAAAATGAATTACCACCCTTTATAATGCCTTTTTACCTCGGGTTGGTGTTTTTATTCAGTATTTTAGACATGCTGAGCACAGCTCCCATACTCAACACTTCCACAGTTTACATCTCCAGTGTTTCATAAAGGGCTGCAAGAAAAGGAGGAAGCTGAAATTAACAACTCCCCATGAAAAGTTTGATGCAAGACCTAAACTTGGCATTAGACACACATCCTGAGGTAGATTCTGGGGCAAAATCCCATGCTTCAGAATAAGTATATAGCTGCTATGAACAATATTCAGACCATCTCTATTTCCCTGCAGGCCACTGCCTGCTTCATGGGTTTGAGTTTCTGTCCTTTGATATAATTTAGGTGAGGCACTCTTCTGGAAAACATTTTTCTCCAGTATGTTTCATAGTTCTTCCCCCAAAAAGAGCAGAAGAGAGACTGTGGGGTTATGTAGAACTTGCTTAGGTTAATTGAAAGAGAGGAAAAGTCATTGAATTATGCATACACTACAAAGCAGATTCCATTGTAGCTTTCCTGAGCTGTTGAGTCTTGGGCTTTGCAACCTTATGGATTGTTTATATGCAGTAGATAGAGTCAATAAAGTTTCTCAATTCATCCTCAATTTGCTGAAATAATATTTTGAAATAATATAGGTCTTGAGTCAGAGCTGCTGCAAAAAAAGGCAGAAAGATATGAAGAGTTCAAGAGTTGAGCATTTAGGTGGATTTTATTCACAGCTATAACTGACTGTAGTCTGCAGTATTTGAAAGTCCAAGTCATAACAAGACCATGGGTACTACAGAAACATATCAACAAAAGTTTGCCCATCTGCCAAAGTACTTACCAAATATATGGGTGCCAATAGATGAACTCAGCCATGCACTCCAAAGTACTTAAGAGTGCACTGAGGCCATGCTGGTCAGAGGCAAGAACTATTTCACAGGTAATTGCCTCACAAGAGCTTACACTACAATGATTCTTCCCTGGCAATGCCATATTATTCTCTTTCTTCCTTTGCTCATTGGTCACAGACTAAGAAAACTGACAATCCAGGAGGTCAAGTAGAAGAGTATTTCTAAATAGGACAGTAATTCTTACAATTGACATCTAGACACTGAGGATCAGTATCTAAAATACAAAAACTTCTTATGCAAGAAACAAAAAACTCTCTAAGTCTAAAAGTTACTCTGTTCTTTCTTAACAGAACTGTTCAGAAGGACAATGAAGTCTGCATTGTATTTGTGTTTGTTACTCCTTGGACTTCAAGCCCAGGGTCCACATGGGTCCAAACTCAACGATGAGGAGCAGGAACAAGAAAAACTCCATTCCCCACAAGACCATTCCCAGGCTGAAGGTGAACACTTGCCCCATACCAAGATAGCCCCCAGCAACTCCAACTTTGCATTTAGGTTTTACAAGCAGGTCAGAGAGGAGGCAGGCAACAAGAATATTTTCTTCTCTCCTTTGAGCATCTCGACTGCCTTTGCAATGCTCTCCCTGGGGGCCAGATCAAACACACTCAGACAGCTGCACAAAGGCCTTGCTTTCAACCTGACAGAGAGGGAGGAGCAGGAGATCCATGAGGGATTTCAGCATGTCCTCCAGCTGTTGAACGACCCTCACCGAGACGTCCAGTTGAACATGGGCAATGCCCTGTTCATAGATGGTCGGCTGCAACTGCTTGAAAAATTTTTGCGTGATGTCACAAAATTTTACTATTCTGAAGCTATTTCTAGTGACTTCCAGAATTCTCCAGAGGCTGTAAAGGAAATCAATAAGTACATTGAAACAAAAACACACAGCAAAATTGTTGATTTAGTTAAGAGTCTTGATCCGGAGACTGTGATGGTTCTGGTTAACTACATTTTCTTTAAAGGTGAGTGACAAACATAGGTAGCATAAGCTACATAAGCTCTGAAAGTTTTAAGAAACATAACTCTTTTCACATTGTGAACATATCCTATTGTCTAATTTAAAACATGTCCTCCTGGTTTTAAATTCAATATGGAAATATTTCAAAGTCTGTTATGAAGAATCACTTTCTATATGAGGGACCAAAAATAAAGAAAAAATAGAAGAATCTATAGAAGTTCTGAACCATGTCACATCAATTTTAAGGCAGGATCAGAGCAGTAAATATTCAGAAAGTATGAGCATGGGAACTTATGATCATTTGTTGAAAGGCACAGGTATTTAGCTGTGCAGGACATGGTCAAACACAGATGACACTTGCATGAAAAGAATAAGTCTGAAGCTTGTATAGTTGGAGCCTCTGAAAGATTTTATCATTGCTTTAACTGAGAAAGGCTCGTCTGTTCTGTGGCAACCCTCAACCAATCATTTTCTTGAGTAACTTTTATTAAAACCATTAAAATGATGTAAAGCTTCTTTCCATGGCCAGGGAGCAAGCACTCTTAAACTGAGACAGGCTTGTTGCTGCCTTTACAGTTCAAATACAGTATTTAAAGCATCAACTAATATGATGTGCCTTTATTAGCCCTTTTTAAAATTCCATATTCATTCTTTTGTCAAAAGGTTCCTGGGAAAGACCTTTCAGCAATTTGGCCACGAGAGAGGATGACTTCTTCTTGGATACCAAGAATTCTGTAAAGGTCAAAATGATGCACCAAAGCAAAGACTTTAATATCCATAGGGATGAGAAGTTGTCTTGCTGGGTAGTAGAAATGCCATACAAAGGAAATGTTACTTCATTGTTTGTTCTGCCTGATGAAGGGGCAATGAAACAGGTGGAAGATGCTCTGCTGAAAGAAACTGTGTCTAACTGGATGGAATCACTCAAAAAAAGGTGATATTTTAATTGTGGCTTTGTTTAAATACTACACAGGCCAAAACTACTCATCCAGGAAAGGTAAAGCTTAGGATGCCACGATAAGTTTCTAAGCACAGCTCTGAGGAACAAGAATTGCTTAGTTCCTGTAACTCAGACAAGGTATCATGTGATTTTGTATCTGAGAGGAACACTCTCCTCAGCTCCCCCAGTCACAGTAGTGGGAATACTACCGCTTATGAGGATCTTGCACATGGGTATGTTGCCCTCAGGAGACTGCCTTCAGTAGGAAGAATCCAGTACAAAGCATAGCCAGCCAGTCACTTTCATAAACTAGCACTCTGTCCCTGCACCACTAATAAAATTGTGGCTGGTGGGACAGGTACCTCAAGTTCTGTTTCTCTAAAATGGGACATATCACTCTCTTAGAAAGTCGAGCCTTAGCTCTGTGGGTTTTTGGGATAGGTGTATATCTGCAACACCTATTGCATCAAGGGATCTTGCAATAACAAACTCACATTTTTTGTTTATTTCTGAAAAGAAAAATCTACCTGGACCTTCCAAAATTCTCTATCTCTGGTTCCTATGACGTTAAGAATCTGTTTGAGAAAATGGGCGTGACAGAGGTGTTCAGTGACCAGGCTGACCTCTCTGGAGTGGCAGAAAATAGTCTCCTGAAGGTTTCCAAAGTAAGTATGCAAACAGGGATGGTAATCAAGAGATTTTTCTGCCTTGCTTGTATCCAGATTTTATCCCAAAAGAGGCTGATCCCACCCTGGAGTGTAATCATGGCTCATTGATGGGAATAAAGGAAGGAAAAGATTAGGCATTAAACGGTTGTTGTTCCTACAGTTTAATATTGAATTGTTTGCTGCACATTGATCCTACAAATTCAGTCAAAAGTATTTGAAGAACAAAGCAACTGGAAAGCATAACAGGAATAATTTCACCAAAAGCTGATGTAGAATAATTAATGCATGACAAGAGTCATAGTTATGACATAAGTTTGGGAATTGTGTTTTTTATACTATATATTCACCTTTCATTATTGCATTATCTGAGCACCTCAGAATTTATAAGGACAACAGACTTGTGGGACAGGGATAGCCTCATTTCACAAACAAAATGATTTATCTAGTGTCCCAAGGGATATATGCCTTTTGTCATAGTGACCCTTCCCCTCTGTTCTGGAGTACTACACATCCAGTTTGGGGCTCCCTAATACAAGGGACATGTGGACACACTGGAGCAGAGTGAGTCCAGTGGAGGGTGAGAAGTATGACTGTGCGGCTGGAGCACTGGATGGATGAGGAGAGGCTGGAAGACCTGGAGTTCTTCAGTCAGGAGAAAGGAAGGTGAAAGTTGGGGGTGCGGAGGATTCTTAGCACTGGCTACAGATTTCTACTATGAGGGTGCAGGGAAGATGGACCTAGACTCTTCTTGCAGATGCACAGTGATACAACAAGGGGAAACACACACAAGATAGAAAACGGAACATTCTGATCAGATATTTTGTAAAAAAAACCCTTCCATGAGGGTGATCAAAAACTATGATGGGTTACTCTGAGAGGCTATGAAATTTCCATTGTTGGAAATACTCAAACTCTGACTGGATGAGATCCTGAGCAACCTTATCTAGTGTCAGAGTTGATGCAGTGTGGGGTGGTTGGTTGCATTGGATGACCTCTAGAGGTCCTTCCATCATATATTATTTAATGATTTTGTGATTCCTCACACTGAATAATGTCTTATGACATATGAAAACACCTGGGTTATAGATACAGGACAAGCAAATAGAGGAAGGGTGACAGGGACTCGTGAGAGGAAATTTTAGATGTGTTACAGACAATGAAGGAAGAAAACAGGACTGATCAAAGACAGTGAAATAAAATTATATGAATTCCTAAATATTAATTTGCTATACCTACCATAGAAAGCCCTGCAAAGTCATATCAGTGGGCTGTTACAAAAAGGCACTCTATAAAGCTTGTCATTATTATGCCTTTGCAGAAAAAATTTTTTTGCGTACACAGAAATTGATGCAAAATGAAAACTTTCTTCTTCTGTCTTCAATACTAAGGACAAAATCTTACTTTGAGAAACAGCAGAACAATAAATTTTCTCTATGTTGTTCGGTCTCTGCAACCATCCAAGTTTGACTCTGACAATGTGTTAAAAAAACCCTCACCCTTAACTCAGAGCAAACTTTGCTTGTCCTGAAAAGGCTGGGCATGAGTATTTTTTTAACACCAGTTCTGGATTCATTCTGTGCTTTCTTACAAAAATTACCTTCTCACATTGTTAAAGCAAACAGGTTTTTCCCTAACTGCTTCTCTGTCTTCTGTACCTAGATTGTAATCTCTGCTTTCCTTGCAGGCAATTCACAAGGCCGCGGTGGATGTTAGAGAGAATGGCACAGAAGCTGCTGCAGTGACTGTGATCGAAGTGACACTATACTCTATAGAGATTCCTCCTCCTCCTCACATCAGCTTCAACAAGCCCTTCCTAATGATTATTATTGACAAAATCACCAACAGCATTCTCTTCCTGGGGAAAATTGTGAACCCAGCTTCTAAGGAAGACTAGGCCAGAGCACTTGTATTCCCCAGTGCAGAGAAGGGGCTTTGTGCACATCCCAGGCACTTCTTTGCAAAAATGGGACTAAAACTGATCCCTAATTAACAAATAAATAAATATTATATGAAGTTGTTCTTTATTTAGAAACAAACAGTAGGATGAAAACATGAGTAAGCCATGTTGGCAAAAACAATCAGGTCAAATAGGCAGTCATGGAATCTTCAACAAATAAACATTTTCTGTACACTTATCACTGGTGTTAGGGGTTTTTTTGTATGCAAATACACCTTCCTGCTGCTGGCTCAGAAGCTTCCTGTGTCTCTCATTTCTGGCATATAAGGTCCTCAGCTCACAAACCACAAATCTATCTGTTCCAGCTGAGAAACCATCCTTTCCCTCCCTCTCATTCCACTGTGAATCCCAGGTGAAGTCTCAGAATCACAGATTCAGTTAGGTTAGAAGGGACTGCAGTGGGTCATCTGGTCCAACCTGCTACTCAAGCAGGGCCATCCTGGAACACATGGCTCAGATTGAGTCCAGGCAGTTCTTGAATACCTCCAGTGAGGGAGAATCCACAACATCTCTGGGCAACCTGTTCCAGTGGTCAGTCTCCTTCATCTTTGAAGCCCTTCCAGGGCTCAGTGGCTAAGAAGGGAAACAGGAACATAGACATGTTAAACTTTTCTCTCCTCGATAGTGGGTGCTCCTTTTCCTTCCAGCTTGACAGTTGCCTCCTACCAGCTCCAACCCTTGTTCCTGCCAGGATCCTGCTCCAAGCAAGTTTCTCCATGAGCTGTAGATTCATTCTAGGACACATCCACTTGCTCTGGCTTGGGGTCCTCCACGGGCAGGACTGTGGGTTTCTGCTCCACCACAGTCTTCTGTGGGCTGCAAGGAAGCAGCCTACCTCACCAGGGTCTTCTCCAGGGGCTGCAGGTGAATCTCTGCTCTAGTGCCTGAAACAGGTTCTCCCCTTCCTTCTGCATTGACCTGGATGTCTGTAGGACTGCTTCTCTCACTTGTATTTTAAGTCCTCCCTCTCACAGCTGCCACACAGTTTTTTCTCAAATACACTTTTCCAGAGGTGTCACTACCTTGGCTGAGGGGCTCAGCAGTGTTCTGTGGTGGGTCTGTTGGAGCCATCTGGAACAGGCTGTACCTGCCCATATCCAGCACAGAACAGCCCCAATCTCTCCTCACAGAGCCTGCCCTGTATCCCCCTCTGCCAGCACCTCTGCACAGACACATGACATCTAGAAACCCAGTCCTTGTATTACATTCACCGTGGGTAATGCAATTTAATGGATGGGTGGAACACTTTGACAGTACTAATGAACTGTCAGGAGCTGCCATTAGGCTTCCTTCACAGTGTCCTCTCAGCATCAAGAGCTGGAGGGCACTTCTTGCATGCAGCCTGAGCTGAGTGACACTGCCTTCTCCCTGGGCTTCCAGTCTCAGCTCTGCTTCCCTCCTGAAGAGGAGCTAGAATCAAATCTTCTCCTGAGGAAAGCCAGGTCTTCCTGACACTTCTGGAGAGCTTTGTCCTCTGTCTAAGCTGGGTCAGAGCTGCTATGCTTCTGCTGTTGTGGTTTGGTTTGAGAGAGCTGTGACAGATTATATAGTTTGAAGAAAACCATAGTGTGCGTATTGCAGTGAGAGATAGTAAGGCCTTACATGTAAGAAAGCACAGACCTTTTCCCAGTTCTACAGGCAAAAAAAAAGCCCATTCTGTAGCCAGTCTATTCACAGAGACCTAAAGACTTGCTTAATGCAAAATATTTTATCTATAATCATCCCCTTGTCTCCAGATTTTAAAGAAAGAAAACCAGCAATGCTCAAAAAATGCTTTATGGAAAATCTGAGTCAGCTTTACCTGTCTAACTCATTTTTTCTCCTAGGAAAATAAAATCAGTTGTTTCAGCAGTGCTTGAAGGGGCAAACTTCTGCTGCTGGAGCCCAGCCCAAGATTTCAGCTCTGCACAGAGCTGCCAAACTACAAGTCTCTTCATCCACAGCTGCTAATACAGCTTGCCCAGTCACTGCTCTCTTGCTTTGGGAGTGGTTAACTGTGCTCTATTTGGGTCACATTAGATGGAAGGCAAGAATGAGAGTAAATAGGCAACTGTTCATATTACCTCATTTCTTCCCTCCCCCTCTGCCCAGTTCTGGAAAATGAAACCCAGGAACAACCCCAGTCATTGTTTAGTAGTAAGTATTATGTATCTGAAATAGAAACTGTCGCAAAATTCTTAATTATCTTATTATCAGAACTGTGAGATTTTCTTATTGAAAACAGTGCAAGTTGACTTGGTGCCTAATGGGTTAAAAGCAGTTATTTGAGGGTGGAAAAATTATTTCAGCTGAGAGGATGGTTCCCAGTTATGCTTTCATAACTTCCCTGCAACTGCAAATAAGAACAGCCACTCAAAAAAAAAGTTTTAAAAGGCAGGATAGTGATTTCTCAAATAAGCAGTTAAGTTCAAAGACTTTGTTGGAGATTTATATGGGTTTTGGAAAGGGACTTAAAGAGCTGGAAGAGAGCAAGAGTGTTGAGCTGATTTGCTTAGTAATTTTAGCTCCATGGTGGAGCTAGGGGGAGTATAACAAGAACATGATGATTTAATAGAAAAAGTAAAAGCTTTACAGATGTTTGGAAAGCCTGCCATAAAACCAAAGGCAACACAGTGGCCCAGCTGTAGATACCCTGAATCAGCTCTGGATGAAACTGAACTTCTACCAAGAGCAAAATGTATCACCCTGGACCAAGATAACACCAGCAGATTGCAGAGCCTTCACATTTTTGGGAGCAACATGGAAAGAAGGGTGGGAAAGTAAAATATCTCTGAAGAGGATGAGGAACCTTTGGCCACACTTAAACATCCCAGCACTCCTCACACTTCAGACATAGTGACAAAAGGGAGAGAAAATTTGGAGCCAGCACATGGAGTGGACTGCCAATGTGCTGAGCCCCTGTGTTATCAGGGGATAACGAGCCTTGCCTCGCCCTCCACCAATACAGTACCTGCAGGTAACGAGCTAAAATCTCAAGGATATGGATTTTGATCCTTGATGACTTCCCTTGTTAACTGAAACAGCAGCATCTGCCCCTAACATACCAGGATATTGGGCATACAGAACCTGTAAGCACAAAGAGAAGTAAAAACAGACTGCATTAACTTTGCAACTTTTTGCCTCCATTTTGCACAGATTTCAACAGTCAGGTCTCTCTGTGCCTTCATTAATCATCTGTCTCTGCTACTTTTGGTGTCAAGGCCCTACCTGTAAAAACAGGCATTACTGAAGTGCTCAGAGACAGCAAAGCTTTTCCCAAAGTCATAGGGAGCCTGACCTGGCACTGCTTGCAGTCAGCCATAAGCGGGGATGGAGATTATCTGAGCAGAGCTAATGTTTTGTATTTCCAAACAGTCTGACCTGACATCCATCAAAATTAAGGTTTATGAGCAGCAATATGGAATGTTGTAGGCAGCAAACAGCCACATTCGAAAAGTAACATACTGCACTCAAAGTTACTTATGAACTCTCTTGATTCTCTGAAATGCACCTATTGAAATAATAACCATAAAACAGCCACCAAATCAGAAAGGGTCAGAAAAAACCACCATGATTTGTACTTTTCTAGCATAAAATCATATATTAAAAATGTACTTTTTCTGTTCTAGGTCTTTTCAAGTCCATCTTCTCTGTAGTGTTGCAGTACCTCCCAGTTTACTGTGGTATCACCTTTACAACTGCCTTCAAGGATGGGAATGCATCTGGGGATCTCAGGCTCATGTGCCTTAAAGCAATTCTGTAAGACTGTGCATTTGCTAATGCATTTGACTTCTTTGCTTGAAGAACCAGGTACTGGTATCTCACTTGGCATGAGTTATTTCTAGCAACACCTGGAGCTCCTTGGTCATTGACAATTGAAGCAAAGAATTTCTCTGAGCCCTTGGGAAAACTGCTGGCTTAGCCAACAGTTATTATATGCACAATCTAGTGGATTTTCTTGCCAACTATATTTCTTTGAAGATGTGCCAGTACAGGCAGTACTGGGGCAACTTGTATCAAAGGGGAACATTAGGTTTTTAGTCTTTTAAATCTATAACTCTTGCTAGGTCTGCTAATGTTTTTCATTTAATTTGTTAGTCCTAATTTGTAAATCTGTGGGTCTTTAGGCAAGTACATCACATTTATATCAAAATTTTGTGTGCCAGCATGTTTGTGGAAGTCAGTGGGAGCCATAGCCACATATTGACTGTCTGTACTGCAGGTAGGATTGATTTTAGCATTTAAATATGGCACTGAAAAAGGAAGCAGAAACCCACACCTTCTTCCTAATTTAGGAATACAACCATTCTTTCCAAATCTCTGCAGTCTGTGACATTCAGTCACGTACAGTGCATTTACACTGCTCCTCATTCAACTCTCATTCAGGAACAAATTGCTCAAAACTGAGCACTGTCTGTTCTGTTTGGGATAGTCTGCAACTCTAGGCATTCACCTCAAGACCTAAAAAAATCGATAGCTGAAGTGTTATAACTGTCCAGAAAATGGTCAAGCTGACCCTGATGAAGCAGTTCAGATAGAAGAACAAGATCTCTCCCTAAAATAGCAGAAGATATTAGGTCAAGCTTCAGATGCTGATTCTCCAATGTCCCTGCTCTCCCATTTACAACTCTGCTGAGAATTATATGTGCACATGGATGGGAAAATGAGAAAGCAGTATCAGGATTCTTTGTCCCTGACAGGATCAATTTTGAACAATTGAATTTCCCATCTTGCAGGCAGCTCGGTGTAAGGATTTTTGGTAGTCCATAAGGGTTTTAGACGAGGGGTGAGTTGTGTGAAAATCCTCTTATAACTTAAATTATTTGGATTACATAAACAAGACTAAACTAAAAAAAAATATAAATGCTATCTTAAATAAAAACATCTGAATGCCTGTCATTTTCCTTTCTAGGTCCCTATCTTTTGCATTCCCTGTGCTATTACAGAAGGAAAGTAAA